ACAAGTGTGTATAAATAAACATGTACATGTATGTGTAGTGTGATCTAAGTGTAAGTAGAAGTAGCAAGACGTACCGGAAATCTTGCATGTTTATGAGACAGAAAAAAGACACCAGCAATCCTACCAACATGTAAAACAATTACAGGTTTCCGTTTTACACTCACTTGGCAGGACGGTAGTACCTCCCTGAGCGGTTGCTGTTTACCAACCTACTATTATTATTATATTATTATTATTATTATTATTATTGCATTATTATTATTATATTCTCTGTCTCTCTCATGGCAGCTTAATAAATGATTAAACTCAGTGAACAAGGTATGTGGATGGTAATAATAATAATACGTAATAATAATAATAATTAATAATAAATAATAATAAATAATGATAATAAATAATAATAATAATAATAATAAATAATAATAATAATAATAATAATAATAATAAATGCTCTGGAGTGGTTTAAATGTCAGTTACCAAACCTGTACAAAATACGTATGACATTTAAACCACTCGGGGGTGATTATTATTCTTACGATTTTTTTTTTTTTCAACAAGTCGGCCGTCTCCCACCGAGGCAGGGTGACCCAAAAAAGAAAGAAAATCCCCAAAAAGAAAATACTTTCATCATCATTCAACACTTTTACCACACTCACACATTATCACTGTTTTTGCAGAGGTGCCCAGAATACAACAGTTTAGAAGCATATACGTATAAAGATACACAACATATCCCTCCAAAATGCCAATATCCCAAACCCCTCCTTTAAAGTGCAGGCATTGTACTTCCCATTTCCAGGACTCAAGTCCGACTATACGAAAATAACCGGTTTCCCTGAATCCCTTCACTAAATATTACCCTGCTCACACTCCAACAGATCATCAGGTCCCAAGTATCATTCGTCTCCATTCACTCCTATCTAACACGCTCATGCACGCGTGCTGGAAGTCCAAGCCCCTCGCCCACAAAACCTCCTTTTCCCTCTTTCCAACCCTTTCGAGGATGACCCCTACCCCTCCTTCCTTCCCCTATAGATTTATATGCTTTCCATGTCATTCTACTTTGATCCATTCTCTCTAAATGACCAAACCACCTCAACAACCCCTCTTCTGCCCTCTGACTAATGCTTTTATTAACTCCACACCTTCTCCTAATTTCCACACTCCGAATTTTCTGCATAATATTTACACCACACATTGCCCTTAGACAGGACATCTCCACTGCCTCCAACCGTCTCCTCGCTACTGCATTTACCACCCAAGCTTCACATCCATATAAGAGTGTTGGTACTACTATACTTTCATACATTTCCTTCTTTGCCTCCATAGATAACGTTTTTTGACTCCACATATACCTCAACGCACCACTCACCCTTTTTCCCTCATCAATTCTATGATTAACCTCATCCTTCATAAATCCATCCGCCGACACGTCAAACTCCCAGGTATCTGAAAACATTCACTTCTTCCATACTCCTCCTTCCCAATTTGATATCCAATTTTTCTTTATCTAAATCATTTGATACCCTCATCACCTTACTCTTTTCTATGTTCACTTTCAACTTTCTACCTTTACACACATTCTCAAACTCATCCACTAACCTTTGCAATTTTTCTTTAGAATCTCCCATAAGCACAGTATCATCAGCAAAAAGTAACTGTGTCAATTCCCATTTTGAATTTGATTCCCCATAATTTAACCCCACCCCTCTCCCGAACACCCTAGCATTTACTTCTTTTACAACCCCATCTATAAATATATTAAACAACCATGGTGACATTACACATCCCTGTCTAAGACCTACTTTTACTGGGAAGTATTTTCCCTCTCTTCTACACACCCTAACCTGAGCCTCACTATCCTCATAAAAACTCTTAACAGCATTTAATAACTTACCACTTATTCCATATACTTGCAACATCTGCCACATTGCTCCTCTATCCACTCTATCATATGCCTTTTCTTTTATCACACCCTTTACTTCATCATTCCACGAATCACTCCTCTTTCCACCTGCCCCCACCCTCCTATAACCACAAACTTCTGCCCCACATTCTAATACTGCATTTGTAAAACTATTCCAACCATCAACCCCCCCCCCCCCACTACTCATCTTTGCACTAGCCCACCTTTCTGCCAACAGTCGCTTATATCTCCCCCGAACTTATTATTATTATTATTATTATATTATCAGTATTTTATTATTATTATTAGGATTTTATGCCATACGAGAACTTGTGACATGGAAACAGGCAGCGCAGCATCTAAGCATCAAGTATCTCAGTCTCCTTCCTACAGTCACTCAGTACATTAGCTTTCACTGTCTCCAAGACTACATATTTGTACAAATTTGCACTTTATTGTACATCCCAAAGTACAAGATGTCAGTGAAAAGGAAGATCTTGACTTTACCTCAAGGAAGCGCCAAGAAACAAAGGAAGGCTCTCGACCTTGAGGTGAAAATGAAGATTATAAACAAGTATGAAGCTGATTAGAAAGTGCAAGTGATAGCTGATGATTTGAAGCTGGCGCATTCTCCTATTCCCACTATCTTGAAGGATAAAGATAGAGTGAAAGAGGCAGTGAAAGCATCAACAGGATTTCAAGCCATAACAACTAGGCAGCGAAAGCATGATAAAGATGCCCAAATTAATAAAAATTGACATGTACGGAGAGGTACTGGAGGGTGTGCGGGGCTATACAAGAGAGAGGGAGAAGGCGCCAGCAATGTCTCTTGGTAACTCATGCTTCACTATGATGTACGGATGTGTAAGCTCATGGCACAATAAAATATTGTATAATTATAGTATTACTATCAATAAAGGTTATCTACCTATCTCATCTATTCCAGAACAATATTAGGTATAACATGAATAGTGTAGAAGCATGATAAAGACACCCAAATTAATAAAAACTGACATTACATATTATAAAGAGAGATATTGAAGGGTGGAGGGCTGGGAAAGATTTAAAAAAAAAAAAAAAAAATCAGCTATGCACGTTTCCTGGAATATCTCGGAAGTAAATCATTGACCTATTTCATGTTGTATTACCGTTAATAATAAGCAGATTGAAAGTAATTTCCCAGCAAACATAAAACTGAATTTTTTAATTTTGGGAGGTGACACTTTCGAGGTGTCAGTAAGGGGTGATTCCTCGATTAGCAACGAAATCATTTACCGATGGGGTCTTAGGCCCCTAACTCCATCATTAAGTGAGGAGAGGCTGTATTATTATTTTTAACAAACCACCCATCTCTAACTGAGGCAGGGTAACCCAAAGAAAAAGTTTTATAGTTTTACTTCTTTTTACATTTTGTAACCATGCTCCCAGCATATTAGTTGCCTCTCATGACACGTACAGCTTATTGAGAAAGGTCTCTGATCAACACAGATTATGATCATCATGTTCATGGGAAAATGCTTGGCTAACTGGAATCATATAGTGCCTGGAGGATGGGAAGTAATCAGATTTGATAAAGGAAAGAGACAGCTTCAATTTCTTGAATCAAGAGCACACCAATGGTCAAAACAATTTAACTGCTAATCCTAAGTAGATACCTATAAATAATTTCTATACACTTACATCAAGTAATGCTTAACCCTTTGACTGTCGCAAGCCCCTTTCTGAAACTGTCATTCTATGTCGCAAAATTTTTGGGAAAAAAAAAAAAAAAAATTTTTATGAAATGATAGAGTCTTTTCCCCATGGTAATGACACCAAAATTACAAAATTTGGTCGAAAACTCATGGAATTACGCTCCCGCGAAGTTAGCGGTCTCGGCGACATATACGCATTGGCAATTTCACCAACTTTGAGCCCTGTTTTTGACCAGTTCCGTTGTTCCGGTTGACCAAACTCATAGCTATTTCTTTAGAACTCCATTTTTTCTATCAGTTGAGTACAAGAAACTGCCCATTTACCAATTTGAACTACCCAATAAAATGGTCAGAAATTAGCAATTTGGCCAATTTTGCATAAAATAAAATAGATGCCAATTTCAAAATAAGGTCCAGAATAAACAATGTAGACATTCTTGGCACTAAAATAACATATCCTCTGTTCATTAGTCACATCTCTAGGCCCCTCTTATATTACTCCTGCTTTCTATTTTGATTCTTTATTCATGCAAAAAATACAAAATTTACTGTTATGCAGACTACTGCATTATTGTAAAAATGGTATAAATAATATCAGTGCACTAGTGAAAGAATATTAGACTCCCCAGTTGACATGTATTGGACGTGTGGTGTCATTTGCTTACTCTTGAACATTGGTAAAAATCGAACATTTCCGCTACTTTGAGCTCAATTTCAAGGTCGTTTTTGAGAAAGTAATCAAAATCATCTCTATTTCTGTAATATGTTTTCCATTTTATCACACGAAACCATGAAAACGAGAATACAGTGATAAATACTATACGAAAATACACCTCAAAGTCGACGTTTTAATCCAAAAAAACGGTCAGTTTTTTTTTTCTCATTATGCACTGCGTGCTGCAGGATTTTTTTTATGTGGTGCACACTGACCCCACAGACCCATTTTCTCACATGTGGGCCTACCAGCTTTCTCCTGCTTGATTTGAAGCCGCTAGAATTTATGCGTTTAAATATGTCCGAAACAGTGGCGCATAAGACGTATATATACAACCGAAACAAAGGGTAATCTCAGCCTTCTTGAAGGGACTACAAAATAAAAAAAAAAAAAATTAACAGCTGTCTCCCACCAAGGCAGGGTGACCCGAATAAACTACATTTCTTATTTTTGCATTCAGTAATTTATGCTTCAGAAGGGGTTATTAATCCCTTGCTCCTGGCATTTTAGTAGCCTCTTACGACACACATGGGTTACCGAGGAAGAATTCTGTTCCGCTTCCCAATGGAGATTAAATTGAAACATATGATCCCAATTATTATTAAATCATGAGATGTAAATTAGCTTTTATCATCACCTTTTCCAATGCTTATGTTATAACAAAGAAATATTTGTCTCTGCTTACCTGGTTAAAATTGCTCTCACTGACAGAAAATGTTTGAGTTTGCTCAGTGTCCAAATCCACTTTTTCATTAAGTTCTTCTGAACTTTCACTATCTGTTGATGTGTCTTCTCTGTATGTATCCCCTTTCTTTCGCTTATCACTACCACTAAGCTTCTCTGTGTCTGTACTTTTTCTTCTTTCTCTACCTTTCACTACATCTGCTATAGTTGGTCTGACACAAGAGAAAGCTTTTTCACTAGCACTTTTGTGATTCAACTTATCATTCTGTTCTGCAGGGTCTATTTTCCCTTTTGTACACACAGGTAATGATACATCTATTCTAACAGCCTCTTTATCATCTTTCTTAATCATACTGCTTAAAACATCACTATTATAGTTTATGTTATTTGTTGCTAGAAGCTTTTGTGATTCAACTGAACTAATGCTGGACACTTTTAACAATTCACTGTGATTTTCAAATAATCTATTTATTCGGCTTGCTTTAGACTTCTCACTCGAATCACCAGCACATCTTTCATTTTGATCTTTACGTTTCGGTGAAATGTCTTTATTACTAGTGATTTTATGTTTCGGAGAGAGTTCTTTACAATTTATAACTTTATGCTTCGGAGATGTATCTTTATTACTTGCAGTCTTATGTTTTGGAGATTGGTCTTTATTACTACTAGCAATTTTATGTTTTGTAGAATTATCTTTATTACTCGTGACTTTATATTTTGGAGAGATATCCTTATTACTTGTGATTTTGTGCAATGGCGAGAGGTCTTTATTACTTGTGCTTTTATATTTCGGAGAGATATCTTTATTAGAAGTTATTTTATGTTTCGGAGAGAGACTATCATTACTAGTGATTTTATGTTTCGGTGATAGGTCTTTATTACTTGTAATATCAGCAGACAAGTCCTTTATTAAACTAGTTCCAGTGGAGTATAATTCTTGATTGCCTTTTCTCTCATCAGCCTTTTCTTCTATCAGCCTTTTACTCTTTTTCCTTGATCTTTTCTTTTGCTCAGATCCTCTGTTCAAACTCTTCTCCTGGTTATAGACTTTGTTTAATTTTTCAGTGGAAAAAGAATTTTTCTCTAAAGTATGCTCCTTGCTATGCCTTTTCATGTAATCAAGTTCTTTGATGATGATCTTCTTCTCACAACCTGGATCAGGGTTTGGCAATTTTTCAGCACTTAGCTCAGACATTGTTTTTTTATCAAAGCCTGGTTCTCTACAGGCTTTCTTTTCAAGAAGGGGTTCAACAATAGAAATTCTTTTTACACCAAGTTCTGTATCATATTTGCCTTGCAAACACTGTTCCTTACTAGAGTTATCATAACTGCAATCTTTCTTTTGTTTCTTTTCAAAGCTGGATTCTTTCCTTGATTTCTTTTCTTGAGTCACATCTCTACTTGCCAACTTTTCAGAAAACAGATCTTTGGTTTTATCCTCTACTCCAGGTTCTCTGTCACATTTTATCTCAGAAATATATTCTGCATCAGATCTTTGGTCTGGAGCCGTTTCTTTATTTGTTTTTTCACTTATTAAGTCTTTATTCAATCTTTTATCTGAATTAGACTCTTTCCTTGAGCGTTTTTCATGAGCATCCTTACTACTACGTTTTTCTGGAGATGAAGTTTTACTAGATTTCTTTTCCACAGAAAAATCCTTGACAGATTCATCAATATTTTCCTCTTTGGTCTGTTTCCTCTCTGAACCCATCTCCTTGCTACTTTGCTTTCTTTCTTTGCTTGGTTTTCTTTCATGAGAAGCATCTTTTCCAGATTTCTTTTCAGGAGTGGAATCTTTGATTACTTTCTTCTCCACAACAAATTCTTTGTTTTTCTCAAGTGTTAAAGACTTACTTTTCTTCTCCAAAACAGAGTCCTTACTAGAGTCCCTATTAGTTTTCTTCTCTGTAGTATTTCCTTTACTTAATTTCTTGTCAGTATTTTTTCCAGGTTTCTTGTCTGATGTACCATCTTTATCATACTTCTTCCCATTATTATCATTTCTACTCACTATATTGTCACAAAATAATTCAACAGGAGATTTATTTTCTGAAAACTCTCTGTTAGATTTTTTGTCACTGGCAGCATCCTCATTAGCCCTTCTATCAAGAGCTTCTATACTGTGTGACTTCTCTACAGAGGCATCCTTGATTTTCCTCTTCTCAGGAGAAAGATCTTTACTTGATCTTCTATCAAGAGAGGAATCTCTGCCACCTCTCCTTTCTGTCTCTCTCTCTTTTAGCTTTTTTTCTTCAACCACTTCAATTCTTATCTTTTTGTCAGAACCATTATCTTTTAAGCATTTTTTCTCTGGGTGACCTTCTTTACAGAGATCTCTTCTAACTTTCTGTTCCACACTAACTTCCTTCACTGGTTTATCATAACTTATTTCCTTAGTTGACCTCCACTCAAGAGTAGCTTCACAATTTTTTTTAGTTAAATTATTACTTTCTTTACTGAGCTTCTTTTCACAGCTTACATCTTTTGTCGTCTTTTCAGATAAAATTTTATTCGGCTTTTTTTCTGAATTGTACTCTTTATTTAAAGACTTGTCAAAATTTATTTCTTTTAATGAAGTGATGTCTGGAGCAGCATCCTTACTCGAATTCTTCTCAAGGTTGAAGTCCTTAGATATTCGTTTGTCAATATTTGATTCTTTACTTAAATTTCTTTCACTGTTCATATCTCTACTGGATTTATTTTCAAACAAAGATTCTCTATTAAACTTTCTTTCAGTTGCTATTTCCTTATTTAAAGTCCTTCCAGGATTACAATCACGTATCTCTCTTTCAGTTTCCTTTCTTTCTGGAATATCTTTAATAACCTCATTTGACTTAACATCAGTCTTCAAAAGTTCTTTCCTTTTTTCATCCCAAACATCCTTTTCTAGCTTTGTTTTAGTTTTATCATGGTTGTTATCTTTTGTATCCATAACATTCTCAATGTGAAAAGTCTGGGTACAGTGATCAACAGAAATACCTGATGTATCTTTCTTACTTGGACTAGAAACTTTGTCAAGCTGCCAACTGGTGCTTTGAGGTGATAGTGTGTTCACATTTTTGCTAGATTTTGGGGATTCATAGACTTTATTGTACTTGGTTGTAGATTCATTAGATACTTTTTCTTGAATTTTTGATAAATCATTACCCAAAACTAAAGCCTTTTGCTCATTTTGCTGTAAATTTAGATTTTTTGTGCTGAAGAGTAAGCGATCAAATTCACGATTCAATTCCAATTCCTTTTCACGTCTTCTCTCTTCCAATTCTGCTAATGATAATGGCATATTTTTTCCTTCCTCAGTTTTGTCTTTATCACTGTCCTCCCACTTGGCTGTGATATCACACTTCCTCTCTGGCGGTGACACACTATCTCTTTTGTAAGGCTGAAAAGAAATTGTTCTATTTTCTTCTACTTTTAACCCAAGAAGAGGTACACTGGGTTTACTTTCATCAACACCTTTAGATCTAGAGATATTTTCCTCAACAACTGATCCACTGTTTTCAGACTTAGGCTCACTTACAAGACCAGGATTCGTAACACTTAAACTTCTAACTTCAGTACAAAGTGTTTCATTCACTACATGCAAGTTACTGTCTGATGTCTGCTCAATTCTAATTGAGCCACCATCATTTCCTTTAGGTAATGGCACTGGTAGTAATTGTTTAACTTCATCTATTTTTGACAAATGTACACTTTTATTTACATTTTTATTTTTCTCGTTATCAATTCCATCAGTAGTCTCATCATCACTGAAAATACTTGATTTTCCAGAGTTTTTCTCCTCTAGCACAGGAACTTTGGTAACTTTACCAACACCAAATCCAACAGTTGCTATAGAATCACAAGATGATGAAGTGAATAAATGTGATGGCTTATGCTTGTCAAAAAGCTGAGATGATTTATGCATAGGGGATGAAGGGGAACTTGGCATTAAAATCTTGGCTTTCCCATCTGTCCTAACAGCAGTTCCAAACCCTTCACTCAATGTTAGCTTTGGTGCAGTGAGCTGTGGTTTTCTCCTTGGCAATGGTTTGTTCATGGGGCTGGAATCACCATCTTCATACTCCTTTTTCCTGTCATCATCAGAAGCAGAAGAGCTACTATCACTCCAATCTGAGCTATCTGAATCAGAATCCTGAAAGTAAAATTTGAGCAATCAGGATAAATGTTTGGTTTTAAAATAAAAGAATGCTTATATCTCTAAACAACCCTCATTTCCTACACTTTATACTGCATTTTTAACATACAATCATAACAAAATACACTAAATGTAATAAAATACTTATGTGATATAGGGAAAAATATGCATAAAAGAATTCTCTGAACCTTTGTGCAATCTTAACTACTGTACATGTGAAACTGTTATCAAATATTTTACTGATATTCATAATGTACAGTAATGGATTGCCTGCAACATTCATTTCAACTTTTCAAGATATAACAAGCGTAAATCGAGAATACTTATGAAGAAACGTTGGATAACTCAACACGTGAATATGAACCATAATATTTATTAGGGAATGTTAATCAATAAATCACATAACAAAGACTTAATACTTGTGAAATAATACTAATTCATCACTTAAGGATGAACCAAACACACTGTGGTAATTTGGCAAATTCATCACAAATCTATAACTATAATACAAGTCTTACTTATCTCATGAATATAAACCTGACAAAATTTAAGAACAAGAAAAAATAAAGAACTATGATAAATCTTCATTGCTATTAAGATATAAAAAGGGGTAAGGAAGTTTACATATAAAAAAAAAGCAGCTCATAGATGAATAAGATTACAGTGGACCTCCGAGTTTCGTGAATAATCCGTTCCAGAGAGCCTGCCGAAAGTCGAAATTCACGCAACTCGAAACCATTTTCCCCCATAAGAAATAATGGAAATAAAATTAATCCGTTCAAGACACCCAAAAATATTAAAATAAAATATTTTTTTCAAATTAAATAAAGATTTACATACTGAAAACAATCAGAAATCAAGTACATGCATTTAAAAAAATAATAACATTACACTTACCTTTACTGAATACTTCTGGGTGGATGGAAGACGGGAGGAGGGGATAGGAGGAAGGTGTACACTATTGCTTGGAAGGAGAATCTCCTTCCATTAGGACTTCAGGTACCAAGTCCTTATCTGGGGTTATTTCCCTTCTTTGTTTTTTAAAGACACTGGCACTGGGAACAACTTGAGAGCCACTGAACCCCTGTCACACAAAATATCTGTCCAGAGAGCTCTGTTTCTGGCATTTCTTTAAGATTTGTCTGAAGTGAGACACAACACTGTCATTGTACATGTTGCCAATACGACCTGCAACAGCTTTGTTAGGGTGAAGTTCATCCATAAATGTTTGCACTTCAGTCCACCTTGCACAAATGTCCTTAATCTTTGAAGAAGGCACCTTCCTCCATCTCTCTTCCTCCTCCTCGGCAGCAGTTTCCTTGCACTAGCTTTCCTTGGGCCCATGGTGATTTATTTAGCAGTTGCAATCACAAAAAACAATGGATTATTATGTATGAACCCGTGGGGTGATAGTCACGTGTTGGTAAACAATGGCACACTGAGCATGAATGGCGTGGGAGACTGACTTGGTGTGCACGGTGACGGGCGGGCGGGTACCGGACGGTCGCCAAATCACGAGTCTAATCACGAAACTCGAGGCCAAATTTTGCCAAAAAAAACTTGCCGAAAGTCAAATTTCACTAAAGCCGATGCTGCTGAAACTAGAGGGTCCACTGTATAAATAAAAAAAAGTTCAAAAAATGGGACATCTCATGACAGTGTGAGTGTGCAGAAGGAAGTATAACTAAACTAAGACTGACTAAGAACATATTGTGTATCAAAAGCAAATTACCTGGCTCCCACTATCTGATTTGGAGTTTGTTGGCGAAGGGGACCTTGACACAGAACGTGATTTGATACTTTCCCTCGATGCTGAGCGTGACCTGGAGCTAAGTCTTGAATCTGAATCAGATTCTGAACCATCAGTATCAGAATCATAGGCATCAGAGTCTTCATCACCTTGATCTTGATCCTCAACACTGTCCCAGTTCTCATTTATTGTCACCAACTGGCCTTTAGAATGATCGGGGGACGGAGAGTCCTGAACAGGATTGAAATAATCATTAAGCAGATCTTCCTAACTGGGAAGAAGAGTTTCATATAAAACAATACTGTGCCTTAATTACCTCTATATCCAACATAGATTTAATGTGCTAACTTCTTGTATAACAATGAATAATAAAATCTGTAAAAATAAGGAACCCTTGTACAGTATAAAGGTACTCTAGGTGCAACATTGGTTTGTTACTTTTACAAAGCTTTCCTGAATTAAACGATCATCCTGAATGAAATACTGTGCCTATTTAATTAAAAGTGCATTTTACACATCACAACAAAACAGATCTTACCGGAGAAATCACCGAGACAGAACAAGAACTTAAGATGCTGTACCAGACAGGAGCACAAAGTGAACTAAAAGCCATTTAGGATATTGCAAGAAACCCCAAATATTTCTATACATATGCAAAAAACAAGGTAAGACCTATTTGTAAAATTGGACTATTAATCATAGAAGGTTCAAACAGAGACTATATACATGAAATGAGCGAAATCCTAAAAGACCAGTACGAGTTGATATTTAGTACATCACTAAATGAAAGCAAGGTGGAGTACGCAGTAATTTTTTTTAATTTTATCTGAAGGCCATGCAGCCCAAATAACTGATTTAAACACTAGTCCCAAATAAAAAAAAATTAAAAACATACCTGCTTATTCAGTATCTGGACCAGATTCATGGAATTCCTTATTTATAAGAAAGTGCAAAGTACCACTAGCACAAGCACCTGGAACTATTTGGGGAAAGAACTTAAGAGCTAGGTGAAATACCAGAGACCTTAAAATATGCAGACACAGCTCCTTTGCATAAGTGAGGCAATAAAGTGCTAGAAAAAAATTCAGACCAGTAGTCCTACCATCCCACATTATAAAAGTCTTCAATAGCCATGAGATGCCAAATAACTAATTTTATGGAACACAGTTTGCACAACCCATACCAGCATGGATATAGAGCCAGACCATGCTTGTCCCAACTGCTAAACCACTGAGAGAATTGCAGAGGTGCAGGAAGAAAACCAAAACTCAAGTGTGGTATACAAGGTTTTTGCTAAGGCTTAGCAAAATGAGGGCTACAGGCATAACAGGGACAGTAGGAAGATAGATTTTCAACTGACACATAAAACAAAGAGCAGTATTAAACAGAGTAAAATCCAGCATTAGTGAGGTAAAAAACTCAACACCACAAAGCACTATCCTGGTGCCTCTAATGTTTCTTATCCTCATACCTGACATAAAAACACCTATCACAGTTTTGTATCAACATCTGAAGATAACACCAAAATAAGCATAGTCTTCTCCATAAAATAAACTAAAAAACTGCAGGAAGATATAAGCAGGCTTTTCCAGTGTGGAGTGGAAAGCAACATGACATTCAATGGTGATAAGTTCCAGCTACGTAGATATGGAAAAAATGAAGAACTCAAAAGAGATCCTATATACAAAACCCAAGAGGATCATCAAAGAGAATGAAAGGAACATGTGAAAGACCTGAGAGTAATAATGTCAGCTGACAAATTTAGAGCATTGGGAACAAAAGGACATTTAGTACCCTAAGAAGCAAAAAAAAAAAAAAAAATTCTACTCACTCCATACACAGAACAAGAAGTATGATATTAGAAGACATGGAGGAAGATATCAATGAACTCTTGGTAGAGAACAATTCCCAAGAGAAGCAGATACAGAAGGATCAGAAAGAAATGTATAGTAACATGGAAAATCAATTATTGAACACTGGCAATAGCATATTACACACGACATACGGTAATTTTTATCTTAATTTAATCTGACTGGAACCTTAAGATGACTGGGCCATCCTTGACCACTGTCAAGTCACCAATAAAAATGGCCAAGGACAGACCAAAACACTGTCATGAGGTTCCTCTTATAAGTGTGGGTTTTTAGTGAATTACTTAAATAGTCTTAGATTCAGGTAGAGCAGATTAAGTTACCTAGTGTATATCTTAATTGAAAATTGTATACATTATACTCATGTACTATATCAATTATATATCCAATAAAGTTTTTCAAGAATTAAACTTTAAATACCCATAAATATTTTTTTTTTATTATCACACCGGCCGATTCCCACCAAGGCAGGGTGGCCCGAAAAAGAAAAACTTTCACCATCATTCACTCCATCACTGTCTTGCCAGAAGGGTGCTTTACACTACAGTTTTTAAACTGCAACATTAACACCCCTCCTTCAGAGTGCAGGCACTGTACTTCCCATCTCCAGGACTCAAGTCCGGCCTGCCGGTTTCCCTGAATCCCTTCATAAATGTTACTTTGCTCACACTCCAACAGCACGTCAAGTATTAAAAACCATTTGTCTCCATTCACTCCTATCAAACACGCTCACGCATGCCTGCTGGAAGTCCAAGCCCCTCGCACACAAAACCTCCTTTACCCCCTCCCTCCAACCCTTCCTAGGCCGACCCCTACCCCGCCTTCCTTCCACTACAGACTGATACACTCTTGAAGTCATTCTGTTTCGCTCCATTCTCTCTACATGTCCGAACCACCTCAACAACCCTTCCTCAGCCCTCTGGACAACAGTTTTGGTAATCCCGCACCTCCTCCTAACTTCCAAACTACGAATTCTCTGCATTATATTCACACCACACATTGCCCTCAGACATGACATCTCCACTGCCTCCAGCCTTCTCCTCGCTGCAACATTCATCACCCACGCTTCACACCCATATAAGAGCGTTGGTAAAACTATACTCTCATACATTCCCCTCTTTGCCTCCAAGGACAAAGTTCTTTGTCTCCACAGACTCCTAAGTGCACCACTCACTCTTTTTCCCTCATCAATTCTATGATTCACCTCATCTTTCATAGACCCATCCGCTGACACGTCCACTCCCAAATATCTGAATATGTTCACCTCCTCCATACTCTCTCCCTCCAATCTGATATTCAATCTTTCATCACCTAATCTTTTTGTTATCCTCATAACCTTACTCTTTCCTGTATTCACCTTTAATTTTCTTCTTTTGCACACCCTACCAAATTCATCCACCAATCTCTGCAACTTCTCTTCAGAATCTCCCAAGAGCACAGTGTCATCAGCAAAGAGCAGCTGTGACAACTCCCACTTTGTGTGTGATTCTTTATCTTTTAACTCCACGCCTCTTGCCAAGACCCTCGCATTTACTTCTCTTACAACCCCATCTATAAATATATTAAACAACCACGGTGACATCACACATCCTTGTCTAAGGCCTACTTTTACTGGGAAAAAATTTCCCTCTTTCCTACATACTCTAACTTGAGCCTCACTATCCTCGTAAAAACTCTTCACTGCTTTCAGTAACCTACCTCCTACACCATACACTTGCAACATCTGCCACATTGCCCCCCTATCCACCCTGTCATACGCCTTTTCCAAATCCATAAATGCCACAAAGACCTCTTTAGCCTTATCTAAATACTGTTCACTTATATGTTTCACTGTAAACACCTGGTCCACACACCCCCTACCTTTCCTAAAGCCTCCTTGTTCATCTGCTATCCTATTCTCCGTCTTACTCTTAATTCTTTCAATTATAACTCTACCATACACTTTACCAGGTACACTCAACAGACTTATCCCCCTATAATTTTTGCACTCTCTTTTATCCCCTTTGCCTTTATACGAAGGAACTATGCATGCTCTCTGCCAATCCCTAGGTACCTTACCCTCTTCCATACATTTATTAAATAATTGCACCAACCACTCCAAAACTATATCCCCACCTGCTTTTAACATTTCTATCTTTATCCCATCAATCCCGGCTGCCTTACCCCCTTTCATTTTACCTACTGCCTCACGAACTTCCCCACACTCACAACTGGCTCTTCCTCACTCCTACAAGATGTTATTCCTCCTTGCCCTATACACGAAATCACAGCTTCCCTATCTTCATCAACATTTAACAATTCCTCAAAATATTCCTTCCATCTTCCCAATACCTCTAACTCTCCATTTAATAACTCTCCTCTCCTATTTTTAACTGACAAATCCATTTGTTCTCTAGGCTTTCTTAACTTGTTAATCTCACTCCAAAACTTTTTCTTATTTTCAACAAAATTTGTTGATAACATCTCACCCACTCTCTCATTTGCTCTCTTTTTACATTGCTTCACCACTCTCTTAACTTCTCTCTTTTTCTCCATATACTCTTCCCTCCTTGCATCACTTCTACTTTGTAAAAACTTCTCATATGCTAACTTTTCTCCCTTACTACTCTCTTTACATCATCATTCCACCAATCGCTCCTCTTCCCTCCTGCACCCACTTTCCTGTAACCACAAACTTCTGCTGAACACTCTAACACTACATTTTTAAACCTACCCCATACCTCTTCGACCCCATTGCCTATGCTCTCATTAGCCCATCTATCCTCCAATAGCTGTTTATATCTTACCCTAACTGCCTCCTCTTTTAGTTTATAAACCTTCACCTCTCTCTTCCCTGATGCTTCTATTCTCCTTGTATCCCATCTACCTTTTACTCTCAGTGAATGTGAATTATCATTAAATCTGTAAGGGAAGGAAGGCGGGGTAGGGGTCATTCTTGAGGGGAATAAAGGAGGGGGTAAAGGGGGTTTTGTGGGTGAGGGGCATGGACTTCCAGCAAGCGTGTGTGAGTGTTAGATAGGAGTGAATGGAGACGAATGGTTTTTGGGACCTGACGAACTGTTGGAGTGTGAGCAGGGTAATATTTTGTGAAGGGATTCACGGAAACCAGTTAGCCGTACTTGAGTCCTGAAAATGGGAAGTACAATGCCTGCACTTTAAAGAAGGGGTTTGGGATATGGGCAGTGTGGAGGGACATCTAAACTGTCGTATCTGAGAGCCTCTGCAAAGACAGTGATTATGTATGAATGATAGTAAGTGTTGAATGATGATGAAAGCTTTTTCTTTCTTTTTGGGTTTTTGCTTTATTTTTGGGTCACCCTGCCTCGATGAGAAATGGCCGATGTGTTAAAAATCAATCAAAAACCTTCTGAATGTTTTCAAAATGTGGTTTAGCTATACCTTTGACAGAGAAAATACAACTCACTCTAATAGCCTGTATATCAACAGTTGAAGGTAAATCCTGTGGCTCCTCTTCTTCCTCATCCTCTTCATGGGCAACTGAAGGAGGCCCCCACATGTGATGATGGTGAGGGAGTGGGGGTGTTATATGGGGATGGTGGTGTGGTGGTGGTGGTGAGGCGAGGTGGTGTGGTGGTGGTGGTGGTGGTGAAGTTAAGTGGTGGTGATGGTGGTGTGGGGGAGGTGGTGGTGGGGGTGGAGGAGACGTCAGATGGTGGTGGTGGTGGTGATGGTGGTGATGATGAGATGAGTGGTGAGGAGATGTGAGTGGAGGAGCAACAAGAGGATGTGGTGGTGGGGATACTGATGCCAAGGAGGCTGCTGGAGGAGTTGGAGTTGTAGCTGGCACCACAACAGATGTCTGTGCTAACTGTTTTGCCCCTTCAAGTGTCATGGGCTCAGCCAGTGTGGCACTCTCCTCCTCATCCTCACTCAACATCATATCCTGAAAATTAACATCAATTAATAGATAGAACACATTTAAATGTTTTCAAGTTGATAAGAAGACTTAGAATATAAAGCAATGAATGTAAGTATGGTATACAGGTACTCCTCACTTTACGACCTATCTGTTTAACGATCGCTCAGATTTACAACCAGCTCTCCGACCAGTGTATGTGTATTTTACTTTTTTATTTCTTTTTAATGCCTAGTTCTATTTTTAATATACTAAAAATGTTATAAAAGGTGCAAAGGTGGCATTCTCTCAGACTAATCATTCAACAAACCCTTCCTTCTCCCACCTGCACCTACTCTCCTATAACAACAAACCTTTGCTGTACACTCTAGCACTGAATTCTCAAAACAATCTCACGTCATCCTGCCTTCACTGTCCTAAAGGTAATGACACCAAAAAATTTGATGGAAAATTTAAGTTCTATTTTAAGCCAATTTCATTGCTTATTTCAACCGAATTCTTAGGTATCTCGCTAGTACGCCTTCCATTCTATCGACTGAGCACAAGAAACTGCCCATTTGATTATCAAAACTATTTTATACAAATTCAAATTTAAAAAGTCCAAAATAAACAACGTAGATATTCCAGGCACTGCAATATTTCCTATGTCCATTAATCACACTCCCAGACCTCTCCTATATTACACTTGCCTTTCATTCTGAATTCATTGTCACACATACAAAAATATCCGATTTACCCTATTTCTCAGATAATAATATATAACCAGGAATGATAAGGCATGGTTTATGACATCCCAATAATTGAATCAGACCTAGTAAAAACCCATAAAACAGACAATAGGGTGTAAGGGAGCTTTACTCATTCTCAAGAAAATTGTCAAAAATTTAACATTTCCACTACTTTGAGAGCAATTTCAAGCTACTTCTCATCCAACCAGTTCAATAGTATGTTTTCCATTCTATCAAATGACACCAATAAACAGCCAATAAAACCATCCTGGAAAACACCTCAAATTCACTATTTTAAACCAAACAGGTCAGAATTTTGTTTTTTCCATCATGCACTGCATGGGGCAGGATTTCTTTTAACACTATGCACACTGCACAGATCCATTCTCTCATAATTAGGCAAAAATTTACCACTCTCAGCTTAGGTGAATGAGCTGAACTCAAGATGTAGATCTACGTGAGGGGACCCTGGCATCAATAATGTAAATCAGTGATTCCCAAAGTGGGTGGTACCACCCCACAGGGGACGGTGGAAAGACACAGGAGGGATGTGTTCAGGAAAAAGGGGGCAGTATGGGGGCAGCACCACAAAGAAGTTAGATGGCTGTCAAAGGTGAAACTTCCTGGGACATTTCTATTCACTTTCTAAAGCACTGTTGAAGTCTTTCAAGACCCCAATTCTGTTCTACATGATTAGCTAAGAAACATAAAAGTTCAACGAAGTTAATTTGCAAATGCAAGGAAATGAAGTCACTCTTATCAAAGTCAAATCAGCCCTTTCCACTTTTCTGTTCAGATTACAGTTATTCAAAAGCAACTTAGCCCTTTTTGAGCTCTTCCAGTTTCTGAGCCTCTCTGAATTGGAGAAGGGAAAGAGAATTGTGCACACCTAAATGAGCAGCATAGATGTCTGACAAATTTCAGGATTTTTTTTATGCTTAACCCTGTGACTGTTTTGGTTGCATATATACATCTTATGAGCCACCGTTTTTGGTGTATATATACTCATATAAATTCTAGCGGTTTCAAATCAAGCAGGAGAAAGCTGGTAGGCCCACATGTGAAAGAATGGGCCTGTGTGGTCAGTGTGCACTATATAAAAAAAATCCTGCAGCACGCAGTGCATGAGAAAAAAAAAACTCCGACCATTTTTTTAATTAAAATGTTGACTCTGTGGTTTATTTTCGTATAGTATTTATGGTTGTATTCTTGTTTTCTTGGTCTCATTTAACAGAATAGAAAACATATTATAGAAATTGAGGTGATTTTGATTGGTTTTACTATGAAAAGAATCTTGAAATGAAGCTCAAAGTAGGGGAAATGTTTGATTTTTGCCGATGTTAAAAAGTTAACAAATTATGTTATTTTCCAATAAATGTCCAAGTAGCCATTCTAATATGCAGTCATGAATGGGTTGACATTATTTATACAATTATTACAATATTGCAGTAGTCTGCATAACAGCAAATCTTCTATTTTTTGTTTGAATAAAAATTCAGAACAGAAAGCATTAGTAATATCAGAGGGGCCTGGAGACATGACTGATGAACAAAGAAAATGTTATTTTAGAGCCAGGAATGTCTGCATTGTTCATTCTGGACCCTATTTGAAAATTGTCATATTTTTTAATTTTCATGATATTGACCAAATTGCAAATTTCTGACAACGTTATTGGGTAGTTGAAATCGGTAAATGGGCAGTTTCTTGTACTCAATCAATAGAAAAAATGGAGTTCTAAAGAAATAGCTATGAGTTTGGTCAACTGGAACAATGGAATTAGCAGAAAATAGGGCTCAAAGTGGGCGAAATCGCCGATTCATAAATATCGCCAAGGTCGCTAACTTCGCGAAAGCGTAATTCCGTTAGTTTTCTGTCATATTTTGTTCTTTTGGTGTAATATTTCGTTCTTTTGGTGTCATTACAATCGAGAAAAGATTCTCTATCATTTCATAAGAAATAATAATTTTTTTCCAAAATTTTGCGACACCAGGAGATACCTCAGGATTTGGGGTTGCAACAGACAAGGGGTTAAAATACCATACTGAGTGATCAATCCATTCCTAGATGTCAGCAATGAAGAAAGAGGAATGGTGAAGGACGAACTGATTTCACTCCAAAATGACACCGAAATGAGGCCAAAGTTCAAAAAATAATATAAAGGTTTTTGGTTAAAAAAAAAAATTCTGACTGCTACCCTGCACTGTGGAACCAAGTCAAAATGTACTTTATTGCCTTCCCAACATCACATTTAGTAGAGTGAGACTTCAGTGCAGCACCAAGCTTCCTTCCAAGCAAAGAAACAGACTGAGAATTACTAAATGTGGGGATCTAACACTTCTTCCTAGTACCTTCAAGCCTGATACTGAGAATCTGATGTCCCTGCACCAAGAATATCCATCTCATTAAAACTGTGAAGACAATGTAATTACAGATGAGATGTAAATTTACCCTTTCATACTGCCTTATGTAAATTTTTATTTGTGAAATACAGTATTAGATTAGTTGTTATTTTGAATTCACAGTACACCTAATACCAAGAAAGAGGTGTGTGTGTGTGGGGAAGTGCCTGGGATATGACCTGGGATCCAGGGGAGCAGCAGCCTGAAAAAGTTTGGGAACCACTGATGTAGATCTATGTGATGGACAGTGAAAGGGTCAACTGTCTCTTCCTTATTTCATTTACTTTCACTTTTCTCTTACCCAATGACAAAATTCTGTTACTCCTCTAAAAATATGTACATCCACAACTATATCCATCAACATCTTATCTATTAATAGTTTAGAAAACTGCTGTCATTATAAACTTTAAATATGCAATAAGATCAGAGTAAACAGATGATATCAAGATATGCAAAACAACCACTGTGAAAGAACAGGGAAATTCCAAGCGCTTTCATGACTTCTCACATTATCGAGGAACTATACCCCCCACACACACAGTGGCACCTTGACTTACGAGTTTAATTCGTTCTGTGACTGGGCTTGTAACTCAATTTGTTTGTGTATCAAATAAATTTTCCTCATTGAAATTAACTGAAATGCCATTAATCCGTTCCAGGGGAATTCCTGGCTCTCGGGAGGCAGGAGAAAATACTTCAATATAACGCTAATATCAACTCTACAGCTTATTTGTCTATCACAATTGAACTAATATGACATAATAAACAACATAAATAATGTGCAAGAAAGGTATAAAATACTGACAATATGAAAGTTAAGACACATGTGCAACATCTGGATAACTTCATTGTAGACGTTTTGCCATCCAGTTGCTTTATCAATACATATTCTAGGATATAATTAGAAGACAGTAGAACTATATATAAAAGATGAGGTAATCAGTCCCTCAGCCTTGGAGTTAGTGTTCACAGCATCATGGTGGTGGAGAATCTGGAGCAAAGGCAAGGAGGCTGGCAGTTACATAGGCGTCAGTGGATAGGGACGTGTAGCAGACGAGGGCATAGTCACTGGTAGGCGGGATTCCCCAGTGGAAATAGGTCCTAACCAAAGGGATGGGTTACTTGTAATAGCCATGAAGAAGGTCTTGTAGATGTCCTCTGAACAAAGATTGTCCTACCCAAAGGGATGGGTTAGTTGTAATAGCCATGAAGAAGGTCTTGTAGATGTCCTCTAAACAAAGATTCCACGATGTTACAGCGTCTGACAAGTTGTGCAAGAAAGGTATAAAATACTTACAATATGAAAATTAAGACACCACAAAAACTAGAATACAACCATAATAGCATACGAAAATACACTGCAAATTCGCTGATTTAAACCAAAAGCATAGTCAGAGTTTTTTTTCTCATTATGCACTGTGCTGCAGGATTTTTTTAGACTGCGCACACTGACCACATAGGCCCATTCTTTCATATGTAGGCCTACCAGCTTTCTCTCACTAGATTTGAAGGTGCTAGAATTTATGCGTACTAGTGTTTACCTGGAGTTTACCTGGAGAGAGTTCCGGGGGTCAACGCCCGTGCGGCCCGGTCTGTGACCAGGCCTCCTTAGGTCAGTGTCCCAGGATGCGACCCACACCAGTCGACTAACACCCAGGTACCCATTTTACTGATGGGGAACATAGACAACAGGTTGAAAGAAACACGTCCAATGTTTCTACTCTGGCTGGGAATCGAACCCAGGCCCTCGCCGTGTGAAGCGAGAGCGTTAACCACCAGGCCACCAGAGTGTGGCACCAACCCTGGCGTGCAAGCCGTACTAGTATGGCACCAACCCTGAAAGGGTTAATAAATGTATGGAAGAGGGTAAGGTACCTAGGGATTGGCAGAGTGTGCATAG